CAGCTATTCCCAAGAGTTTGCTTTTGTCAACAGTCTTAATGTTCCTCCCTCAGAACAGCTCAACTTGCAGTCTTAATGCTTCTCTTCTGGAGTGTTGTTTCCAATTCTTTTAGTGGGTTACAATGGCATCCTCTCGTATGAGGGCTGCTGAAAACCCCTCAGAGCTCTCATACATATACCAGGAACGAAATCTGGTTACAAGGTGGGATTGTGAGGAGACACTGTGGTTCTGCTTTCACGCAGAGAAGATATCAATTCCATGCTATTGTTTTACATATTTTTCCAGACCTAACTGAAGACCAATGTAATTTTTTTCTGTGGGTTTCATGCATTAAACTTTATGAAGGCCTTCTCCCTCTGAGCAATAAAACCTTTTTCAACAAACAAACCAAAAAACAGAAGGTGACCAGACTCAGGACTGGAAGTGCCATTTCCAGATTGAGCAGTCTTGAAATCTGTAAAGAATTTACAAACTAAAAAAAGGGCACAGCACTAAAATAGAGTACTTTGAAATTGTCCAGTATTTTTAAACTGTGATCACTAATACAAGCTGCAGTAGGATTTGTCAGTGTCGGATAAATTTAAAAATCGGTATGGTCATTTAAATATGTACAACAGTGTTTAATCACTTGTGGCAACAAAATAAAGTCTATGTTTATCCACTTGCATGCTCTTACCTAATCAATGTAGCCCCCAAGTAATCCCAGTGGATACCATTTAACTTAAAAATAGCATTCAGCCATATAATTTCTCTGCTGGCAGTTGAGCACCCAGTGCTACACTATACCCTATATGTTCCTTTAACTTTAAAATTCCTTTAAACTTAACATTTGGTGTTTAGGATGTCTGTAAATAGCGTCTGTATGTGTAACAGCATAGAAAAAAATATCTCTAAATTAGTTAGAATAGGGTGCATAATACCTGCATAGCAGCAGGGTCTTTGCTGCTATGCTTCTACCTGCTGTAGGCATGCAACAGAGTATTTAAATCACTTTGATCTTCTCTTACTCTAAAAAGTAATCAGCAGCATCCAAAAGCCTTATTACATTTTTGCTCAGTGTATTTTGAATTATTACTGGTCTCAAAAATTCAGCTCATTATCAATACTACAACAAGTTTTCTATTTCTTGGTCATTTCAGACCTACTTGCTCTAGTTCAGAGCTTGAGCCTTAATTGCCATCCTGTTGACTTACCTAAGTTCAATGAGACAGCGGTAATTTGCACATTTCAGGAGAGGAGCCTATTGAACCAAAGCTTTTTGGTTAATGCGAAGGTTGAGAGAGTTCACTGAATAGGAGTACAGACTGAAATCAAACCTTCAATGAGAACATTCTTAAACATACAAACTCGGGATGTGAAGTGAACCTGAATTTTACCAAAATTTCAGCAGCGTGAATTTGCTGTAAATAATGATGGGTTTGCTGTGAATTTCACATTGTGTGACTTGGGCATACTTGTGTTTTAATATTGAAGCCAAACTACACAACCTAACAGGAAAGGTATCATTAAAATAAAGTTGATACAAAATTTATCACTCTTTTATGCAATCCTGTCAACTGGGGTTTCATGACGGTGATTGCAAGAAATTTTTATGCTTTTTCCAATGATCTGAATTATTTTTATGGTAATGATTATTCCAGTTCACATTGTAATGACTTGATGACATGTGTTTCCTGGTTCTTCCTTAGATAAGAATTTTCAAATATTTATTTTGCAACCCGATGCTTTGTTTCTAAAGAAGGAGAGGGGAAATTGTTTGCCTTGTAAGAGTGAAAGAAATTGTTTTCTCTAACAGTATTTGCTGAACTGCTCCACCAGCTTGCCAAAAATTTCTCCTCATCAATGGTTTCTTCTCTTAATTCTGCTTTTATTCGTATCATGTATATGTATCTGTACACAGATCCGATTTACAGCTAGACAAAAACAGAAATTTGATAGCACCTTGGTTTAAAAGAATATATAGTTTATTTGTTGGAATTAAGTCCCAGAGAAACAGCATGCCAATAATGTTAATGCACCTTGGCACTTGGAGGCCATTTGAAAGAAGGTAAGGCTACTTTATGAAATTAAAGAATATTTAAGGAAATGTGAATGGCCAGTCTCTTCGCGAACGAAGAACCGGGAAGGTCTTTCCACCTTCCAGCCTGCGCATTGGATTTTTTAGGTGAGACACAGTGTGCGCGGAACTGAGCCCACCCTTTAATCCTGAGGTTCATCTGCCGGGGCCATCCTGAGGTTCATCTGCCGGGGCCAAGCACGCTTGGACGGTGGCAGCGAGGTCCTCAGGACGTAGATGGATTGCCTTACGGGCTAACGAGCTCCATCTGCCCGGGGAGGGGCCCCGACCGGGAATCGAACCCGGGTCTCTGCAGTGACAGTGCAGTGAATTTTCCCCTGGACCACCGGGGGCTCCCAAAGGAAATGTGAACAGCATGATTGAAGATACCACATCAACCATGGAGAAGCAATAATCTTCATTACTGAGCAGAATGAAAACACAACTGCTCCATCAAGCTTCCAATGTCTCTTGCAGTCTTTTACTAGTATTAACATTGCTGTCTTCCCTTATTATCATCCTAAACGTTTTTGTCATTACCCACTGGCTGCAACATTTTTCTGTAGCTGTTTTATGTTTATATTATGCTGAGATACAATCACAATGTTCCTTTTTAAGTTCCTTTCCTTTTATATCATTTTCAGAATAGTATTGTTTACTACTTCATATGTTTCTCTATTTTCTTAAAATGAACTGCATAAACCAGAAAATTTCCCCTTCCCAGGAGTCCTGGGGATCTATTTTTGTGTGCTTTGTTTGGCTGTACAAATCTGCTGCCTCCTAATTTAGTGCTGGAAAATGATTATCAAGTTACCTTTAATTTTGGTTGATGTTTTTCTGCCAGGCAGTAGCAATAATCAGTGTAATAACTTTACTGTTTTTACTTCTACTCTCATTGCCGGAAGAGTTAAATACTTTACATTGCAGTGTTACTCATGAGTAAGAGTATTCATTGTTTATTTTAGACTTGATTATGAATTTTGTCCAGGCTTTCTGCACTTAATACAAACTTTTTCTGCAGCAAAAGCAATTCTAGAGGGTCAAATCAGGCTGCATGTTAAAATTAGTGCTAGTGATGGGATGAATGTGCTATAAAATTCTGCTTGCAAAGCTGCCTGTTTTTCTTCAAGGCAAGCATGAAACATGAACATTATATTCTCAGGTCATCACCACAGAAAAATATATTTTCCTAAATCCTCTTGCTCTTTTGGATCACACAACAGTAAAGACTGCACTGTATCTTTCTTTGATTTTCTTATTCAAAAAGGGTGGAGCATTTCTGCATACTTTGCCATTCAAACATTCCTGGTGGTTCTATTTTCAACTCAAAATTTTTGAATTAGTAACAGATGTGCTGATTCTTTTGACTGAAACAGTGGGCAAATTTTTCTCTGTATTTTGAATAAATTTTTTAAACTTTTACTGATCATTGAACTCTGAGTCCTAGTTTTTTTTGCCAGACCTCACTGTAAACAGTATCTTACATCTCACTGCAGTCAGTGGGAAATTATCCTGATATTAGAAGTGTGATGAGGTTTAGCAAAACATACTTAGAGTGACTTTAAAATGCAGCTTTTGGAGTGAGACCCCAATAAGGGGTAACATCCCAGTATTGCACATCTCAACCTGTTTAGGTATATTTTGCCTATTTTTTGCTTCAGTTTCACTGAAGTAAATGAGTATAGGACTCTGTGACTCTGAAAACAATGTCTTTCATCCCTGTTAAGTGAGAAAATTGTTTTAAAGAAAGCAGGAGAAACTTTGGAGAAGGAGAAAACCCTTACACCAGAATTGCAAAGCAGGTAGCCTGAAAAATAACCATCCTACGTGCATACGTATGTTATGTATGTAATGCTGGTCCATTGGCATAAAATATATAGAAAGCACTTGCACAGTGGAAATCCTAGGAAATTTTATAGCTCTTGTTCACAGTGCGTTTGGGAGTCCTGGTAGATCTGGAGCAGGAAGGCAGACTTGTGTGTAGGACAAAAGAAAGACTTTAGAAGTGAAAAAAATGACAGAGAATCAAATTCCAGTTTAAGGAATAAAATTTTTGATGTTTCAGTTGCAGCCTTGAGGTTGAATTAGGGGTGGAGCTGTATTGCATTTTTCACACTGTTTGAGTATGAGAGTCCTTTTTGCTCCTGAGTTATCTTCATTACTATAATTTATTTAAGTGTTTCTCCATGCTTATATAATGACATACATGTACACCTGATAACACAGGTGCTGGCATGATCTTTCATTCTCCTTAAGCCTTTGAATTTTTTTGTTAGTGTTAATACAAATGCATGATATCTTACTTGGATTTTAGATCATCTAACAACGAGAACTGATAAATTATAGAGACTGTAATACTTTTCTACAGTGATTTCTAAAAATATTTGAAGGCCAAATAAGTCTTGACATTCTGGTGTACAAAAGGAAACAAGCATTCTGTTGGAAATGTAAAAAGGCAGGAACAAACCATTTCTGTAGGTAGAATTCCTGCTTCACATAAAAGAGTATGAAAAATATTCACTAATACATAATTAAAAGCCTGAATATTCTTCTTCCAGAAATACTGAAAATATTCAAGTTATTATAAGGATGCAGTGTGAAACAGATGAAAGAAATACAGAGGCAAATTGAGTTTTGCTGTTGTGAAAATATCTCTGGCTCACACTGAAGAATATTTCACATGAACATTTTAAGTTATCTTGAGAAATTATACACCTCAAGCTTTCAGACTTTAGAGAAGTTAGGTGAAACAAAATTAACTTGTCAGATAATAGAAATCTTTTGTCAAAAATGCTTTCCCATTGGTAGAAAACTAAACTTTAGTCTTCTTTGTGCTTTAAGACCCCGGGCTGACTTGCTGTGTTTGTCTAAATAGTATTTACTTAAGTACAAAATGTCTGTCTTTTGATGACTGTGAAGTAAATCTTTTTTACCTTGGGGCAGGAGGAAAGATGTCACTTGGATGTCAGGAAGCTTTTGAAGTTTTCAAGCGGGACCATGCTGACAGTATAACCATTGAGGACAACAAACAGCTTCTGAAACAAAGGTGAGTGTCACAGCAAAATACAGCTGGAGGAAGACATCTGAGAGTTCATTATCAGTCTAGGTAGGAACATAATTTTACACCAGACATCATAGACTTCTGGGTACAGGACTTGGTACAGAAACTTTACCTTTTCTTACTTAGGACATTTCATATTCAGAAGGCACTGATGGTAAGAGAACAGAAGTGTGGATGAAAGTGGCATGAGGAATCTGAGTGCATATTTCCACTGGTTTTATTCATCCTCATAGCCATGTTGAAGCAACGTGGCAACAGCATTCACAATCAAGAATTATTTAGAGGAAGTAAAATGCATGTGACTGAATCAATTACTGCGATTTCCATTGTCAAAAATGTTTTACTGGCTTTGACACTGAGTTGGATAGTAAGCTAGGAGATGTTTAACATATGCATCTGTCTGTTGTTCCTAACTTTTTTGCCAACTTCTCTCTGCCAGTTTTGCACTCACAAACAGAAATAATACTTTCCTCCTCCACGTTTGTTGTTAATGCTGGCAAAACACTTCAAAATGTGGTGAAGATGGTGAGAATGGAAAAAACATTGAAAACATGTTTTCATACAGCAGATTTTAAACATCTCACAAACTAAACAACCAACACTTGTCCATCTTGACTGGATAACAGTACTGTTTCAGTGTCAGTTTTCAAGTATTAACTCCCCTTGTACTGCAAAAGAAATATACGGGTTTGAGATTGCAGATGCCAAAAACAGATCTCTCAATCTATCTTTTTAACTAGCAAGTCCTCTAATAGTTGCTTGGGGTTTTTTTTTCCTTTTTTTTTTTTTTTTTCCTTTTTTCTGGCCTGGATTTTTCTCCTCCAGCTTTCTCCTACTTTCTTCTGCTTTCTTCAATACAATTTTCTCTCTTAATAGGCATAAAAGACATTGTTTTCAGAGTTACTAAGTTTAATACTCATTTACTTTGGTGAAATGGAGGCAAGAAGTGATCTCTACATCCATGTGACTTATTCAAGCTCTTGCTGTTTAACACTTTTCTGAGTTGATTAACTTTCTACCTGGATCTATAACTCAGCCACTGGAACACAAATTGATGAGGTACTAGGTGTATGTAAGAATTTATCCCTGTAAACTGGATGTTTAGTAATGCCTTTCTTCTGATCAATATATCAGATGATGCCACATCACTGCATCACCTCTTCATAAATGAGTAATTTCTGATGTTGCAGTTTATTGAGCAGAACACTTCATGGTCACAGCATGATAATGAGAGCAACACAGTTCTGAACCATGCTCTGCATTTCCTCTAGTTAATCACAATTCTTCCATATTTTTTCTGTTTGTTATTACTATGAAGCAAACCAGTATTTCCTTCTGGTTTCCGAACGTATAATAGAGAGGGGCAGAATCCGCAAAGTTTGATGACAGATTTGCCTTCCCTAAAGGAAAAAGAGATTCAAACTAATGCCTTTGGGTAACCCTTCCCTAATAGGCATCAGCCGATTGCTGAAATCAGTGCTAATGTGAATGTTGATACTCTGGAGTAAAAGTTTCTCTCTGCCATTTGCAGACATTTTTAGCAAAAATGCTTATAGCTCCAAGTTTACCAAGTTCATTAGAATGGATTTACATCAAGTCCAGTCTGTAATTTGGAATGCAGGATCTGAACTACCAGTTACACAAAAGTTCTGTTACCCAGCCAGTGTTCAAATTGCACAGGAAGAAGAGTGTGGACACCAGATGTTTAAAAGTTACCATAACTTCTCTTTATATGTAGGCCTCTCATGTTAATAATTTTGTTTATAGTTGCATAACCACTTCTGTCATACCACAAACAGTATTTGGCTCACAAATTACTTATTTTTAGCTGTCTTATTTTTCCTTTGGGTATTTGGGGGAGATTTTCTTGGTTTGCTAATTATCATAGAGGATAGAAAGGAACCTTTAAAGGTCATCTAGTCCAACCCTTCTGCAATGAGAAGGGATATTTTCAGCTAGATCAACTTGCTCAGAACCTTGTCAAGTCTGATTTTGAGCGTTTCCAGGGATGGGGCATCCACCTCCACTCTGGACAACCTGTTCCAGTGTTTTACCTCCCTCATTGTAAAAAATTTCTTCCTTATACCTAGTCTAAATCTACACTCTTTTAGTTTAAAACCATTGCCCCTTGTCCTATCACAACAGATCCTGCTAAAACATTCTTATAATCCCCCTGTAAATATTGGACGGCTGCAATAAAGTCACCCTGAAACCTGCTCTTCTCCAGGCTGAACAACTTCATCTGTCTCAGACTGTCTTCATAAGAGAGGTGTTACAGCCCTGGGATCATTTTTGTGGCCCTCCTCTTTCTTTCCTGTGCTCCAGAACTGTATGCAGTACTGTTGAGGAATACATTTAGTGCTGGTAGCTCAGCGTGCAGCTTCAGTGGGAGCTGCAGATTGAGCTCTGGGTACCAAGAGCCAAAGGCAAGAGGCCATGAACTGGCACTGACCCTTTGCACAACAAAGGGCACAGCCAGCCAGGTGAACAGAAACTTAGAGGCACAGTAGGAGCCAGTGACTCAGGTGGAAGAGCTGAGACTTGCATACACTTACACCGTGCAGGGTTTCCTTTGTTCAGGGTCCTTCCTTGGAGGCTTCAGCTCAAGCTGTTATCCTGTTGTTGCATCGTGATTAAATTATTTTAAGGATCCAGACATATGAGAGACTCTGCTGTGGGAAACCTGGCATTGAGCCAGTAAGAAACCCTTGTCTGACAGTGTGAGTGTGGTGAGTGTAGGGAGTCAAGCAGGGCACCTGTTGGCTCAGTGGATCCACCTGCTCTGAATGGGCTTTGGTCCTAGCTCAGGTGATGTGAGTGTGACTGTGTCCTGTTTTCAGCCAAGAACTGGGTTAATTTTTTGCAGTAGCTGTCAGAGGGTGGCTCATAGAACCATGTGGGCATGGAATAAGACCCTAATCTTATTCTATACCATCTTACATCATGGCCAGGGGTGTGGGGGAAAGGACTCTCTCTCGCTTCTGAGAAGGGCATTCCTTCTCCGCTGGAGAAAGTGCAGCGAACAGAGTGGTGGGGTAATGGTGGTCTGGAGCACAGGGAGTATTTTTGATGACATGGCTGAGGTTGGGTTGAATGCCGCACTCTCTATTTTGTTCACTTTCTGTATTAATATGGTTGCTCTTACTATCTCATTGCTGTTTCCAGTAAATTGTTCTTATCTCAACCCATGATCTTTGTCTTCTGTGCTTCCAACTGGAGGGGGAGGGGAAGTGAGTGGCATCGTGGTTTGGTTTAGCCACTAAATTTGAGAATATAATTTCTAAACCACAACAGACTGCCAGAGTGGCTTCTGGATAGTCAGACAGGAACATTTCCTTAACAAGTGCTCCAGGTGGGATTTCATAAGACTGGAATAAAGGAGAAAAATCACCTCCCTCACCTTACTGGCGTCCCTTCTTTTGATGAAGCCCAGGATAAAGTTCACTACCTGGGCTACAAGAACACATTGCCAGGTCATGTCCAGCTTTTCATTCACCAGAACCCCCAAGTTCTTCTCCTCAGGGATGCTCTCAATCTCTCCATCCCTCAGCCTGTATTGATATCAGGGTTTGTCCAAACCCAATTGCAGGACCCTGCACATCTCAGTAAGACATCAAGTACGCATTATGTCATTCTTAAATGAATGGAGAACTGTCAGTGAGCCCAATTGGAAGTTTCACTGTGAAGGTCACAACTGTTGCTTGGGCTGAGAAATTATTCATATAGATGTAACTACATATAGTCATGCATATGCAATATACTTGTATTTTTTTCTGTAACTACCCTTGTATAAATGCTCAAAAGCAGTCAATTGATTAAGTCAAATACTGAAAACATTAGTTTTGTTTATATATATATATATATATAAATATATAAAAGAAAAAATTCTGGTTTTGAATAAAGCTTTTCACCTTCTGCTTCACAGCTCTTCACAGAGGCAGTAGCTTAGTATTTTAACTCAGTACTGTCTCTGGATTTAAAAGGTGGGAAGTCTGATATGGTTAAGGATAATTTCTTTCTGAAGCTTATTACTGTTAAAGTGAAAGAAAATAGGTTCAAGCTGTCCAATTAAGACAGTTGCCTATGAGGAGTACCTTCGTGAGATAAAAAAAGTGACCTTTACAGCTTACTTTACAGTTAATACAAAACAATTATTTTTTATTTTTCTTCTGTACATTAATAACTTCTTCCCTACTTAAAAAAAAAACAAGCCAAAACAAAGCAAAAAAAACCCCAAAAACCCAACACCAAAAACCATGTGTATGCCCAGACAGAATCAGATTTCTGCAATTTGTTCTTCCTATACTTGACTTCCAGAGAACTTAATAACATCCTATTTCTCAATGTAACCATGTTCTCTTAGGATTTTTTCTCCAAGGAGGAGAAAATACATCTCATTTTCTGGTGAAATATACTATAAAAAAATCTTCCCAGTTGAGGCACTCTAATGTAGTATTGCATATTGCACAAAGCTTTCAAGTCCCATTTTAGTCAATATTTCCAGTAGTAAAATTCTACTGAGCTTACAGATGTGATGTAAATCTAGTTTCCATTTTGTTGTTCTCCACTAATATTTTCCATTTTCTTGTTTCCTTGCTTTCTGTGTTTCAGCTGGTTAGCAACTAACTTGTTTTTTCAATACCTATGGGCAAGTTTCATGGAAAGGATGAATTTCACTTAGGTCGTTTGTTGTTGTAATTTCTAATAATTAAAAACGAGTGAATGCTCATTTAATTCACTAAATGTCTCCACTGTCTCATTAGACAGCCTCTGAGTTTGTCTTGGTTTACATTATGAGTTAGAGATTTGTTTTTCAAGAAGTTCATTTTTAAATTACTGGCACTTGCATTCAAAGAGTGAAATCTTTGCCAAAAATGCTTGTTCCATTGAAATCAGTGGTGAAATTCACTTTGGGGTTTCATCATGGAGTATTTATCTTGTAGGTAATAGAAGCCATGATTTGGCAACCTCAGCCTTTCTGTTGAGTGGTGTCCACGTAAGATACACAGAAAGTTTTTTCAGCTTACAATATGTAATTGTTCACTCGTCAATATTCATAGCAATATCAGCTTAATGTTAGATAAGACCACCTTTTTTTAATTAGAGGAGTATCAGAAATAGCTTTTTACCTTTCAGTATTTTAGTCAAATGTTACGTCTTTACCTGGTTTATTTTGTTAGACTCTGATTCATAGTCACAGATGGAATCCATTGGACTGTCATACATTAATGCCAAATTTTGGTTTATGTTATTATGCTAGTTTATAAACTGTGGTGTTTGAGAAACATATGCATGATTCATTCAACTATTGGCAGTAGTCTATGAATCACACTTGGATAGATAGATAGCTTCAACTTGTCCAGATAAATCTCTCTGTGAACATGAATCAAAGTTAATAGTCAACATGAGATTTGCCTCAAGAATTATTAAGTTATTGAGGAACTTGCTATTTGGTTCATGGGACCTGAGGGAAAGAAAGAGGAGGTACTTTAGGGTTTCTTCCTTTTGACATTTACACACTCTTCAGTGCCTGCTTGGGGCTCCAAGTCAAAACCAGCAGAATAAGCTTATATAAAGTCTCACAGATGCATCAAAGTCTCCTGCCCTCTCTATGTAAGAAAGAGTAAGTGTTGAGGAACTCTCCAACTCCAGCCATTTATTCTTGTCAAATTCAGCTTTGAAAGTATGTGTTTGTGAGCAGACACCAATAAAGGCACCTGAAATTCTAACTCATTCCAGTTTTACAGAGAATTTGACTAGTTGAGAAGGGGCAAGTTTTCAAACCCCACCTCTCCAGGGACAATTTGTATTTCTTTACTCTATTTTGCAATTATTGGAGTTAGACAGAAGTACAATCTGTGGATTTCTTCAGTTACTTTGTCTAGACCAAGACTCTTCCAGATCAACCATAGTATGGCTTAACAACTGCCTTCACATTCTGCAAGGTTCCACTTGTACATGTCCAAGTAACAACTCAGAATTTCGTGTCAATCTTAATGTCCTACAACAAATGTCACAGTGCAGCAAATCATCTTTCGAAATGTGAAACCATTACTATTTAAACTATTACAATTGATATTTCCTTGAAAAAACCTCAGTTCTCTCAGTGACTCCTCGGACTTTACCACTGTACATTGAATTGACTGTCATTATTTTTACAGCACAATATATTTGGCATTTGAAAACCTGGTATGTCCTTAGCCTGATTTGTCCTAAACAGTTTGATATAGTACCAAATTAAATAAGTGTAAGAGAATAATTATGACAGCAACTACCATGAAACATCAGAAAAAAAACAGAAGAAAAGCACAAAAGGAGTAGACATCAAGACTGTAAGAAATGTAGAGAATATAAGTTTTTAAGGCTTGGTAGATAGCTAGTTTTTAAGAATACATTTAGATATGACACATTTCCTAAGGAGCAATACAGTGAGCTGTTGCAAGCTAAAAAAGAAACTTCTGATTGTTAGAATATTTTATGTATCATGTGAAGATTTGGTTATTCAAATATAATGAGGAAGTGGTCAGTAAACTCATTTAGAAACATACCTGGAGGGACTTTCCCACTCATTTCCAGTTTTGATTTGAGGTCAAGCTGTTTGCATTCTAGAAAAAGAAAGTTTCCAAAGACTGATTCATTCATTCATTTCCATCCTTCTCAGCCTGCTTCTTGCTTGCTATTTGCATATCTTCATGTGTGTTGCTATTTGAGCAACTGAAAGTCTGCATTTACTTGGTGGCTATCTATAGAAGAACAGCATCATTTAGTTTTCTCACATTTTCTGTTTGAGAGGTTTCTAAGTGATTGGGGTGTATATTTCCACACAGCACAGTGTTCATCAGCAATATGCTAATTACAGGCTGAAATTTGAAATTTCCTACTGAGCAGTTCTAATATTTTCAATCATTTTGTTTTAATTTGCTTGGGTGTTTTTTTTTTAGTTTTACTTTTATATCACTGTTGGTTAAAACACTGTAAGTAAAGTAACATATAAAGAATAATACTGTGGTGTAGTAAGAGTATTCAAGACAATCCAGTCATTAGAATTGAGATAACATAGTTTTCAAAACTTAAAAGATCAAATAGATTGGTTTTGTCTGTCTAGTAAACTTATCTGTTGCATAGTTTCTTTCAGAAAGGTTTCTCTTGGACCAGATAATCTTTCCTAATGGAAAATTGTTTCCAATTGCTTCTACTTACAAATCAAAAATTAGTACTGAGTAATTCCATATTTTATTGTGATTCACTAGTTGTTCTTTAGAATAATTCTGTATGATTATCCTTGCATTGACAGGTTTGCTGAAGTTAAGTGCCTTGGCGAAAAACTAAATGAAGTGAGAAGTAAAATAAGTGAGTACATTTTAACCTCATTTTACCTCTTAGTTTATGAAATTGCAGCATTCAAAAGATACGGGAAGAAATTCTATTTTCTAAAAGAAAATAGTCAATGCATTGCTGAGATTTCCAGTAAATTGTAAACTGATGATGGCAGTAATAATTTTATGTAAAAGTTTATATTATTTCAAATACCATAATGTGAAAAAGAGCTCCCTTCTTTATTTGACAGGATGTCTGAAATTTATCAGAAGGAGAAATTAAGGTATTAGCATGAGGTTTTTTAATTTTATTTTGGAATAAAAGGATGCAAGCATTTCATTTCAAAATGTCATATCTATGGATTAAGGTTTATATTTATCTATAAATTTATATAGCTTCTAATAAAAGGAGATTTCATTGTTGAGTTGTCACTCTGTACTTCCTTTGTACAGATTAATTAGCTCAATTCAAAGTAGTGCCTCAGCTTGGTGGGGGTTTTCATCACTTTTTCCTTAAGGTCCCAGAAGCAAATGTCAGAAGTCAAGCAGATGAGGCAAAAGGCCAGCTTGGCTGAACAGGAATCTTCTCTTGGAAATAAGGCAAAAAAGTGGAATCAAGGCCAAGTGACATGGGAAAAATTCAGAGATGCTCCTTACTGGTATGGGGAGAAAAATCTGTGCAGCCAAAGCTCAACTGAAGTTGAAGCTGGCCAGAACTGTGGGGGACAGTAAAAAGAATTTTTTCAAATACATTAATGGCAATAAGCAATATAGAAGTACCATTGGCCTGCTACAGGATGAGGATGGTCATCTCACAAAAGGGGACGGAGACAAGGAAGAGGTGTTTAACACTTTATTTGCCTCTGTCTTCAACATGGATGACAGACCAAGTGGGTCTCAGTGCCCAGAGCTGCAGGACCATGACTGTGGGAATGACCAACTCCCAGTCGGGCACATGGTGTGACTCTTGGGGATGGTCCTGTGCAGGGCCAGGAGTTGGACTCAATGATCCTTGTGGGTCCCTCCCAGCTCAGCATATTCTGTGATTCTGTGATGTTTGGATTCAGTTTCAGATTGTTCAATGCCAAAAATCACCCATAGATACATTCAACCCCAAGCTAGAGCTTATCTGATTCTCCTACCAGCCTTTGATATGTTCCTAGTTGATTTCTGAGTTCTGTTGATTCCAAAACTGGAGTTTGTTTTCTTAAAACTGGCTATCCAGGCTCTCTGTCAGATGTGAAACAGTTTTCTAATCTCCCCCTGATGTTCTTGGAGATCAGATTCATTTCCTCCCATATGCACACATTCAGGTGAACTGTGCCTCTTCAAGCTTCCAAATACAGGCTGTGAGGGACCAGATTTAAAGGTACTCTGGCATCCAGGGCAAGTGGTATAGACCTTGCACTCAGTTTCTATCTCCTTCCTCTTTGGGTGGCACCTGCACAGACATGGACAAAGAAGTCATTATCATCACTTCATGTCTTACAACAGCAGTTTACTTTGGGGAAAGAACAAAAATCTCACAGCACAGCTGACAAGTGCTCTGTACTTACACCATAGCCATGATTATATTCTCTGTGATCATGAATGATAACTACTGCCAGATTCCCCTCCCAATCACCTTCGGGTGCACCACAAGTCCCTCAGTGACCCTATGCAGTATATTAGTATCTTATTATAATATATATAGTAAAGTTATGCCAGATATGTGGAAACCCTCGGTCATGTTGGCATGTGTTTTCAAACCACAGCACAAATGATGTTTGGAAGGGATCCAGAAGCAGAGACATCAGGTGCTGAGCCCTGCTGCAGCAGTGTTCCGAACAATAGGTTATTTCTGTAAGGCATGATACTTGAATTCACCTGTCTTCTCTCAGTTGATTAATTTATCTCCATCAGACTGGCCAGAATATAAATGTCAATACAGAACCTGTGCATGCATATCCACAGATTGACCTATGCAAATAGAATTTCAATATCTATCTTGCAACTATATGTCTCTGCAGTGCCTATATAAGCTCACTTAACTCCTGCCAATAGGCTTTTTCCCCTGGTGAACTTGGAAAAGCAGGTTAAACCTACTGAAGAGGATTCTTTTTTCTCTGTTGCCATCTTGAAGTCCACATTGTCCTCCTGCATTCCTTCTGTCTCCTAGATTTGCTCATCTGTGTTAAGCCCAACAGATTTCTTAGCCTAAATGAGGTAGATCCGAAGCCAACACTTGACTGTCAGACTTCTTTCTCTTGCTCAAGTTGAAATGCATTTTGAAACAGGAATAGTGCCAGCACACACAAGCACATCTTTCTCAGTATTTGCAACTGTGCTGGTTAAAGATAGGAGCCTAGCATGCACTCTTAAATTCGACTTTTATCTGATGCAAATATCGTAGGGGAGGACAAATGTTTGAAGACAGTGAGAGACAGTACAAGAAGCAGTGGGGCACATGCCAGTCCCGAAGGTACCACTTGTATTGTCATGCTGGGACAAGATTTGTGTGGTCTGTAAGTCCCTTGAGATTTGTAGAAGTCTACCGTGGCAGCTCTCAGAAATAATGTAACAATGCAACATAGATGTAGCCTCTCTAGACTCTGTTTCCATGGATCGCAGCAAAATCTAAAAGAAATCCTTGGTTTGGACTGAATCACTGTGGGTTTTTCCTCAGTAAGTTAGGCAAAATTCTGATAGCTATAGTGCAGTAGAGTATGGGTTTTGCTGTAATTAAAAACATCTGTTTTAAAACTTGTTTTTAGTTAAAGTTCTGTAGTGTTAGAAGCGAAACAATGAGGTATATCTGGGACACAAGCAATACAAAAATCTAAATGCATATTCATATGTATATATAGCATAAAACCCCAAATTGATCCCTTGAACAAAACAAGCAGCCGTGTAATAAATTAGTAGTGTTGCACTGAACTTGACAATACTTAAATGCCTCATATAGGAAATTATATTAAGTTGTAGGCCACATGAATGTTGAAATGTTACTTCAAGAATCAAGCTAGAAATGACTCCAAAGTTCTAAGACAAATTGCACAAAACACATTTTGGTTTTGTTTTGGTGTGTGAAGTGGTTTCAAATTGAAAATTAATTTCATTACGCTCTATTTTTTATTATTATTATTTTGGTAGTAAAATGGAGAAACAGTCTTTTCATTTAGTTTGTACTGTAATCCTACCGTATAAGCAAGAAACTCCATCCATGTTGTATCTATCTATAGCTCTCCATATTCTGCTCTGTGCAGGTGTACACTACTTTGTGTATGGTTTTTAAACATTGATGTCTGAGGCTTGAGAATGATCATGTTGTACAGTCTTTTCGTCAGTTCTTTCTATGTAACATTATGCAGCATGGGAAAATACAAATACTGGCTAATACAAATACAACATTTTATTCATCTGTCCTTTCGGCCTATCCAGCTTTGTTTTGAACATAGTTGTTAATGTATTTGCCTATAAGCACTTCGTAACAATTATTAAATTTTTGCATCCAGCAGGACAATTTCTGGTTTATTCTTCTCAGTCAATGCAATTAAACTATTTTATATAGTTTAGCAGACTGAAACAATTTTTTAGTTAAGCCTGCTTCATCATAGCTTACATACTCAGAAGGCCATTAAAGATGCTAAGCTTACTAACCTGCCAAATCTTTACTGAAACTGTGGTAGGAGAAATAAGAGTCATCTGCGGCCTGCAACTAGATCTTTAATTTATTTTTATTATTGTTTCAGTTTCCTTAAGCATTCCTGGCTGCCTTGTTGTGCACAATCAAGAACAGATCCCATCAATATCAGTTTCCGTTATTTCTAAGCTACTCTTAATAGTATAAAACCATGCACCGCAGAGGCCATAGACCCCATTTCATGCAGTCTGATTATATTTTGAGATACTGATAGCAGCAGTTGGCTGTAACTTTTATGTCATAAATACCCCTTCATCCTGACTTTGGAAATATTAGTGTTTTGCAGTGAAAAGTACACAGAATACTCCAACCCCTTCTCAATTACACTAGCATTTCAAAAACATCAGGAAGTTAGGGCTGTAAAAAGAAATTTGCAGTAAGATTTTCATGGTTGGCTTTTGCTGATGTTGCTGCTTGCACAAAAAAGATTGAGGAAAACAATGTCTAGATGTAAGGTGGATTTCAAGTGTAGAGTGACAGTGATATCAGAAATGAGACATTGTGGCTATCATGCCTTTTGCTACTCTACCACGTAGTCCTGGATTCTGTCTCTTTTTATGTTTAATAGCACTACAAAGAATACAGCAATTTTTAAATTATTTTTATGAAAAATAATATGTATGTCTTAGACATGTCATTATGCTTACCTTTCATAGTGACCTCCTAGAAATAAGGGAGTGAATTTCTTTGTAGGATCAATAGTTTCTTTTACTGATAAATGAAAACAAAGGAAGGAAAAGAAGGAAGTTTTTCTTAGTCAGGGTCATTGTAGTGACCCTGTTTGCTGCATTACCACACAAACTTCTGTATAGGCTGAAAGAAAGGAGCAGAGCATTTTGGTGAAAGCCCTGAGGGGCAATTATTTTTGCAAGTTAATATATTGCATAAATGCACCACAGAAAGACAGAGAAATTGTGTGGAGTTTGAACATGTAGACATGTCTGGATTTGAGTGAACTATTCCAAATTGTTTACGTATGACTGGAGAGTGTACCCAAGGACTAGACTTTAAAAGACAAGTAAAGAAAACCAACATGAGTGAAACTGGAAAAAAATAACTGAGATATCAAGAAATAGTGAGAACTCTAGAACCAGCATAGAAGAAGTAGAAAGTGGGCCAGCACTGACACATGTATTTTTGCCTTTCTCCAACATTTAGAACTTTAAAAGTGTGTATTTCACTGGCTAAAGAAGAAAAAATAATAGGTTTCTTTTCGTGGGAAAAAAATGCTGTGCCACTGCATGTGTTTTTTTATTGTATCATTTTCAGAGCATTAGGGCTTCTAACAAGAACTGTAGATCCTTTTGGTATTACTCAAAGAGACTTAGTGAAGGAAATTTGATGCTGAAGCC